ATTTTAATTTAATTTGAAAATATTGAAAAGAAAAAATTATTGAATTTTTTAAAATAAAATTTAAATAATACAAAAAAAGAAAAGGAAATATGCGAGAAGAAAATGCATCAAATTATTTTTATTTTTTTATTTTTTATTTTTTTTTTTTTACTTACAAAGTGAAATTTTTTTAATTTAAAAATAAAGTTATACTACCAAAACCAATAAAATAATAATGTATGTTAAATGTGAAGTAAAAAAAAAAAAAAACTATTTGTATGGTTGTGTGAGTGCGTAAAATATGCAATGAAAATAATTTATAATATTAAATACACTGGTATATAAAAGAAAAACAAAAAAATAAGAAAAAAAAACAGAACGATTTAATTTTATTCTATCTCTTTCTCTCTTATGTTATTTTTATTCATTCTCTCTTCATTTATATACCATATACAATAAAATTGTATACTCTGTTGAATTTGTTGGATTGAAAATATAAAAACACACAAACCAACAACAATGTGTGTTTAAATTTTTGTTTAATTGTATTAAAGTTTAAATATGTATATGAATTTTTTTTTTATATGATTACCGTACATATTTTTGTTGTTGCTCGAAAGAATTTCTACAATTACATATACGAAAAAAATAAAAAAAAACATATTATACACGTATATAATAGTATCTCTAAAATATCTTTTGTATACACACATATACATATTATAATATATATACATACTTCAATATATTATTATATGCATACATATATATATATATATACGGTCTATAATACGGTATGGAGTAAATTGATTTTGAAAGAAAAATTATAATATTTAATAAGGCAAAAATAAAAAAAAAAAAAACAAAAAATTAAAATAGCAAGAAAAAATCATAAAAAAAAATTATAATAAATTCCTCAGTAATAATAAAAATAATAATAAAAATGAAATATAATTGATCGTTGTTTAACAAAAAAAAAAACAAATAAAAAAAAAGTGCCTTGTTTTAGTAAATTTTGTCGTTTTTCATACCTACATACATTGTATGTATGTATGTACATTAAAAAAATTAAATAATAATAAAAAAAACGCCCTTTTATTATTAAATACGTACATACTTATGTATGTACATACATATGTATAAAGAATAAATTAAGTAATTTTATTTTTATAAATTTAAAACTGAACTGAATAAATTGTTTTTCTTTTAAAATTCCATCAGTTTTTCAATTCAAAATCTTTTACAATTTAAAATGCTAAAGAATTTTATTTTTAAATTAAATATTATTTATTTTAATAACTAATATTTATTTTTGTAAAACTAAGTAATTTAAAACCACTTAATAACCTGATTTTACAATAATAAAGAAGAAAATATAGTTTTCTATTTAAAGCAAGTGCTTCCAAAACAAAATAAATGTCTAGGTATTGCCGGGTTACTTAAATATATTCTACTGGTTTAGAAACTGACCTGGGCGGCCCAGTTTAAAAAAGAAGGGCAAAATAGCCCACAGTTAGCCGGATATAGTTCTAAATCATTTCTTACTAAAAAAGATGTTTAAAAATAAAAATTGAAACAAATGTAGGCATAGTTGGGTGGGTAGGTAGGTACCTACATATATTTTTTAGCCCATCTGAATTTTAAATTGTAAAAGTATAGGAAATTTTTTTATCGAAATAGTGTTGACAATGAAAATGATATCTAACATAATATGAAAATTTGAATATTTATTTTACATGAACTACTTTACTGGTCAAACATACACAATGAATACCATATGAATAATAATTGGTTTCGATGGCCACAAAATATTATTGATTTACTATAAATATCGGAAAATTAATGTTATCTTGCAAGAATTAATAAAACAAAAGTATAAAATTGTACGATCTTAAATGTCAATTTGCTGAATTAATTTCCATAAATCAACTGAGTCACTAAAAATTGATTTTAAATGATCGTGTTAAATAACTATTATAATTATTATACATATGTATGTATTAGAAAATCTTATAAATTTATTGGAGCATATGCTCAGGGGTAATAAAATTTTGTTAGAATTATGGAATGGATATCGAAAATAACAAAATAAAGCCGGCGTTGTGTTCTTATGAATGTTAAATTTTTTAAAATTAAAATTGATTTTACCAACATTCCTGTCGTTAGTTTTAATTTCTCTCATAAACTCGTGCCAAATTAATATTTTCTCAACTGTATAAAATTATATTATATCCAGACACTAAGCAAATTTTTTTCAATGACTTACCCTTAAAACCTCATTCAATGTTTTCAATAATTTTAATGATCTTCTTCATATACAATGAAATTTTATAAGAAATAAATTGAGCTACATTTTATTATTTAAATATCAATTTAAAAACTAAAATATTACTTGAGTATAAAAGTAACTAAATAAGTACTGTTAATAAAATAAAGAATAATTTTTTCTACCATCATAAAAAAAAAGTGTTGCGAAACACATTCCATACTCTTATAGAATTTTTTTTTTTTTAAATTCAAATGCAAAATTTCCTTTTAAAGATAATTTCTATTCATTTAAAAGTTATTTAATAAAATATTCCATAAATTTACATTCTATTCGCTTTCATAATAATAATAAAAATAACAACAACAAATACATACAAACATTGATATTAATTGAATATTGTCTTTATTATTATTCTCACCCCGAAATGAATACGGTCATATATTAACATTTGTCATTTAGAAATTTAATTTTTAAAATTACATACTTGAATAATTTAAATAATTAAATTAAATTTAAACGTTTTATTCAATTATTGGATCCATTTGCAAACCAATAATCCGTTATCACATTTGGAATAAAATAAAATTTATTACTATTACTTATTATTATTATCGCACGAATCGCTTCTTAGGCCACCTATCATGCAAACCAATATTGCACGAGAGATCGAAACAATTATATGACAGCAATATTAAATATAATTGTAAATTTCTTCTCTTTTGGGTTTAATATCACAGTATGCATTTTATAAGCCGTTTACTTTGGGAGTAGTTTGCGAATGAGAACAAATTTTTTTTTTAATTATTACAGGATAGAGCACATGTGCTGAAATGATACTAAATGTGCTAAATAAATCTATTATTTTAAATATTAAAAATTTTAACACATATAGTTCTCTTTTTTTTTTAATGAAAATTTCATATTTAGTTAGAATAATCTACCTTTAGAGGTTGTCGTTCACTTGTTTATTTGTACAACACAAAAGGAATTCAGAAGAAATTTATTTGTAAAAAAAAATAATCTTTATAAAAAATTTAAATTTTATTAAATATAGAATATGTATGTATATGTATGTATATAATGTAGGTAAATAAATAATTTTATAATTAGATGTATCCATAATTTAATAAAAAAAATTTTTCCCATTAAACAAAAAAATAATAATAAATAATACTTTAATTAATTGTTCTCAATTTAAAATTTGAATTAATATACATACATACATATGTATGTATAAATGTATATTATTATATTATAAACAGGAATGTAATATTTGTTCATGGATACATTCAAATGTAATGTGCATATTTATGTATTAATAATTTAATTAAAATTACAAAAAAATTTATACACATCCATAACTGTATGTATTTATGTATAAATAAAGTATATTAATTTATACAATTATTAAATTTATTGTTTTTATACATGAAATATGTAAATAAGTAATATGTATATAAGTATATACGTCTGGATATACCCATATATATGTATATATATCTGAAGGGTAAAAATTTATCAAAGAACATTGACATACAAAAAAAACATAAATTTTTAGTTGCTGCAGCCTGCCTTTTCAAATAATATGTCAATTATGCCGATTACGGAAAAATTTATTAAACGCGACACCTGGGAAAAATATACATATGTTATTTTATAGTTTTCAACCTGAAAATGCCGAATATATCTGTCACAATTGTCAATAATGAAATTTTGTCATTATTCAGTTTTTAACCAACACACTTACCAGTTGAACAGCATATTATATAGACTTTTCCAACTTGCATATAAGTACTTATCCCAAAAAATTGCTATAACTATATTATATGTATATTTGTATGTATATTTGTATGTATACAGTATCGCCCATATTCTGTTAGTCGCATCACTTAAAGTGATAAGAGAATTGATAACAACCCATCACACCAAGTGGTGCGACTAACAGATGACGAGCGTAAATATGTGTATGGACAATATAGAATAATACAATATATAAGTTAAATAAAATATATTAAAGTATGTGTGTCTGTATTTATATAAAATATTTTTATTTTTACTTTTTTTTTTCTGTTTTTTTATTTTAAATTAAATAAGTACTTTTTTTTTTATTCATTTACTTATTTAGCATTCATTTAATTTATTTATGTACCTACCTATATATATATGGGAATTTTTAAATTAAAACAATATTTTTATTTACAAAAAAAATAATGTGTGTATAATACTTATAAGTAGTACAAGTGTTAAAAATTGTGTGTGACTTAGAAATGAAAAGAAAGCCAATTTATGTGTGAATTAAATTAGAAAATGAAAAATATAATAAATAAATAAATAGTGTAGAAAAAAATATGGAAAAAAAAATAAATTTAAGATTTAAAAAAAAAATTTAAAAATAAAAATTACAATTTAAAAAATTCAATAGAAATTTTTTGTTAAAAAGTTCAATTTATTACTTATAGAAATAAAATAGAAAAAACAAAATTACACACATTCTAACAGTACAAAAAAAGTTATATAATGTATTATAGAAGAAAACAAAAAACAAAAAATATTCAAGTATTTTATAAAAAAAATGTTAAAAATGAAATTATTATAACCTAGCTCTTAACACTTACATTTAAATATAAAGAATATATTTAATAAAAATTTAGAAATAAAAACAAGAAAAGAAAAAATAAAAATTCCAATTAACACTAATGAAATGTAGCTGAAAAAAGAAAATATTTAAAACAAAAATAAACATTTTAATTATTAATTAAATAAATATTATTAAAAAAAAAAAAATTATTTGCTTTTAATGTTATGAACACATTATAAAAGTATTTTTCAACATAAACACTTCAAATTACACACTGGAATATTAAAGTGTATAAAATATGTATATTGAATATTTTAAACTGTTATACATAAAGCTACAATTATGTTTTATAATAATTAATGTGCTATAATTAATTGGAAAAAAAGAAAAAATAAATTGGAATTTCAGAAAAAAAAAAATAATAGTGAAAAATAAAATAAATTGAAAAATTTTATATGAAATTTCCGCCATAAAAAACGGATAATTTGCAAAAAGAGAAAACAAAAGATTTTAAATTTGGAATTCTTGGATTTTTATAAATATATATATATTTTTTTTTTAATTTCGTTTCTTTTGGATATAATATGCCAAAACAACACAATTATGGTGAATTGCCTGCTGGTTGGGATATTGCTACAGATTATGATGGAAAAGTTTATTATATTGATCATAATAAAAAAGAAACTACATGGCTGGATCCAAGGGATAGGTAATTTTTTTTTCTTATTTTAAATTTAATAATATGAAAACTATTTAATATAATGGAATTAAAATTATATTTAATTTACTTCCCCTATTTTATTTAATTATTATTTGTGATTGATATCGTAATACTTTGAAATTCTAAAATAATGTCTTATACTCGTACCCTTATGTCATTGTATAAGTAATACGAATGTTCAAATTACACTTTTGTGACATAAAGGATATTTTTAAGTGGTATAAATGGCATAATCAAAAAAATGTAAACAAACACAAAATTCTCATTAAGGATGAGTATTAAAGTTTTAGAATTTTAAGAATATTATAAAGGAAAAATTTTAAAATATAACAATAAAAACACTCTTACTTATTGTAGATAGGTAATTAATTTAAGAACAAACAATAATACAAAAAAAAATCATGTCTGCCAAAATTGCTTTCTTTACTTGTCAAACAAGTGACTTCGTTGACTGGTTTCTATACTATTATACTATTCGCAGAAACTGTATATATACTCGCTAATCTCCTGATCTCCTTAAAACATACAAAGATTATGCAAAGCACAATTTAAAGTTTAAAATACGCTTAAGAATTATTCTCATTGTATATAAGATGTGCTATTTAACTCGAATATTATATTGGAATATAAATTTTATATGTGTAAAATTTAACTTTGTAGAAAATCTAACTAAATTAATATGAATTAAGAAATAATTTTCCACTTCTCGAACCAAACGATTTTTAAAATATTTCAATTTAAAAGAAAACCAAGTTTTTATTTAATAAAAAAATCTCTTATCTTTCTTATTTGTTGTATTTTTTAGTCAAGAAATTTAATATACTTAATAATATAACAGTTTTTATTTAAGTATTTTTTTTTCTCTCGTAAATTTTTTTTTCTATATTAAAAGAGAAATCTTTAGCTTAAGATTTATACAAATATGTAAATGAAACAAACAAAAAAAAACAAAATTTTACACCTGTTATTATAATATGCATGTAGGGTAATATATCCAGGTACATACATAAGAGTTATAACGTATACTTATACATATACAAAACAAATATATTTTACAAACGATAATATTTAAGATGTGAGGTAATAAAAAAAGTATGAAATTATTTTAAAACAATTAAAAATAACAAAAAAAAAAAATTTATTATTTTATTAAGTATGTACGTTTAACTGCATATTAATATTAGATCTAAAATAAAAATAATGACCCAGAACAATTTGATTTTTATTGAAATACTTATTTGTAAAATATTCAAATAGAATTTAAGAAGTTTGATCATATTTATTTTAAATACTTATAACAACTTTAATTTTAAAATGTTTTAAAAAGAGGTTTTCAAACTTTTACAATATTTTGTACATACAATTAATATTCTAAGTTTTGTGATGTGTTATGAAACTAACTGCATAGAAAACTACATACGACACTAACTACACTAAGAAAATTGTCAAGAAGAATAAGTAATAAATAGTAATAAGTAATATAGTGAATCTACCATATTTAAGAAAATTGTGAATTACAATTATTATAAGTAGATATATGCAAATATGAGTAGAAATAATATAATTATTAATAATTAACGTATGCTTTGTAATATATTAGAATCTAAATAATAATAATCATAAAAAGAAATAATACTTAATAATAAATTATGGCATGCCATTGCGTATACTCCCTTGTGTAATATTTTATAATATTAATGTTTTTATATTTCCCTAAATTCTTATTTACTTTTCTTTTAAAAATCATATTGTTGTGATATTCAACGTACACAATTTACGATTTGGAATCTTATGATTGATATTTAAAATCTACTGAAAATATGAATGATAAAAAACAAACTACATGAATGATTTAAGGGACTTAAGGAAGAATAGTAAACTATTTAAAGAAAATATTTAGAAATTAAAATGGCGGTATATATTGCAAACCTAATAAATTAATCATAAAATAGTTATAACATAATCTTGGTCTATCTTGTTATTCATAAATTTTTGAAAATTATTAACGAAGAAAAAAATTTTTAAGAATCCATCAATTCAAAATATAAAATCCCTCCAAAATCAAAAGTGACAAATGTCAGTTTATCCCCTATAAATATGCAAATACAAGATTAAATTTTACAAGATCGCCTTGAGAAAAAACAAAAAAAAAAACAATTTTAATAGAAAACAAAAATAAGAAATTTTAAAAAATATTTTATAAATACATTTTTTTTTTGTTTTTGACATTTTGAATGATATTTGACAGGAAAAAAATTTTAAATATTAAAACGCAAATATTAAATATGAGTACATAAATATGCACATACATAATGTACTTATGTAGGTAATAAAAATGAACAAAAAGGAAAAAAAAAATAAAATGTGTGAGTAAATTAATTGCCAATGGAGACACCAAATTATTATTTTATTCGCGTAGGTACTTGAATTTTCAATGTACATACGTATACATATTTCTATGTACGTATGTTGAAATGTTTGTAAAGATTTTCATTTAAAGAATTTCATTTATTTTTAATCAACTTAACAAATCCAATTCCAAATATATTACAGACATACATATGTATTCACATATTTCTCAAAAATGAATTCCTTACAAAGCATTTTACATTCATACATAAATATACTGGTGTATGTATGTTAGTTTATGATATATAAAAATTTAAAGAAAAAAAAAAACCAAAAAAAATGTGTGCATATTATGAGATATTAATCTATATAACTGTAATTTAATATATACACACAAATTTACATAACCATACATATTTCTGCAGATACATACATACATACATGTATAATATACTCATACAAATAAATATGGATAATAATAACCAAACCAATTCAATTTTAATTCAACAATAATAAAATATTGCATATACTTAGGTACAAATATTTTTATACATACTAATAATTGCAAGTAGGTTTATGTTATGTATATAGGTATACCCATATGAATGTCCAAATATACAAACATACGTATGTATGTATGTATGAACAAATATTTTATTTCATATTATAAAATGGTATCTTTTAAGTATCGATTCATTTTGAAAATATTTATGTAAAAATAATAACAATAATAAAAAAAAAAAAATAAAAACTTCGTTGTGGAATTTTAATTTTATGTACAAACGATGAGGCCAACTCAACTTTAGCATGCACAATTTAATTTTTTTGTTTTTCTTTTTTTTTTTTGTTGCTCGAGATTAACACATACTTTATGTATGTAATGTATAGTATAATATACATATACTATATATTACATATATATATCATATGGGTTATAATATTTTATATTATGTACAATCAAATATATTTTTTTTCCTACATACTTACATATTTGTATATATTCATGTGTCAATATATTATAGTATATGATATACTCGAATATATCATGCATGTAATTAGATATGTACACGGTCGTATTTATATATGAGTATATGAGTATGTATGTATGTATTTAATATGTGATCAAGATTTTGTTGAAGAAAAAATACAAATTGTATTTTATTTTCTTATTATTTTTTCTGTTAAAAAAAAAAAAAATTGTAATAAAAAATGTTTGAATTCAAGAAAACTTTTGTTGCCTTATTTTCAATTTATATTTTGTATAAATTTTAAAAATTAGGATGGATTAAAGATGTGAACGTATTTTAAAAATATTGATTTAAAAAAACAGAATTCATTGGGAATCTTCACAAAATTCAATAATGCTACTTTTGCTCTAATATTAATTTTAAAAAGTAAAAATTTATTGCAAGCTATCAAGTTGTTGTATAAAAATATAGTAATGACAATTTAAGATTAACTTATACTGATAATTGAAATTTGAAAAATTGAATTTAAGCATGTAAAATTTTACCAAATTTAAACAGAATTGGGGACTTGCAAAATCAACAACATGTTATATTTAAATATGTCATATAGGAGAGACTTTTACTTTGATTATGTGGGAAATTGCAGAGTATTTCTTTGATCACAAAATAAAAAATTTAAGGCGTTCTCGAGGGCAATTCACTTGTTATGAGCAGTAAATAGTTCTAATATACATAAATATGTATATTAGAACTATCAGTTTACTTATTCGAAGCTCAAATACAAATTTTTTATATACCTAGTTCCTAAATATAATTATTTAAATATTATTAATAAAAATAATGGTCGAAATGGAATCTTATATATGTACATATGTTGTTCCACTCACAATACTTATTTTTTTATTTAATTATATTAACATATGTACAAAGTATATAGAGATTAGGAAATTTGAAAATAAAAGAGTTGATATTCAATCAAGTGGGTATTCAGTTTTCTGTTACTTGTGAGCTAATATCACAATTATTCTTAAGTAGATTTATAAGTATATACAAGAATTCTTCTTAAAATAAAAAAACATTTCTAATCAAAAAATCCATCCTAATTAAGAAATAACTAATTTATGTATGTACATACAAAATATATGTAGGTATATATTATTCGTATAGTTAAAAAATGCACATAAGTAAATAAATTTTTATTAACAAAGTAAATAATACTAAAATTACACCCATATTATAATTTACAATCTGCATCATTAATTATTGTATGTAAGTATGTATATATAAATGTATACGTACATATTGAATTAAGAAAATAGTCGTAGAATTATTTTTTTAGTACGCGCACTTTATACGATAAAAATATTTCAAATCTGATTTGAAAATACACAAACATTCCCATGTATATTTATATGTACTTAAGTAGTATAGTTTCTGTAAAATTCTAGGTTTAGATCTTTTCTTTATATATGTTTATCAAAATTATTGTAAATAAATAATTTGAAATTCTTGTGCTGAAAAAATAAGTGTGTACGTAAACTATTGAAAAATAAGAGTAAAAATATAAAATATTGAGGGTTTACTGACAATACGGCAACACTATAGTTCAATATACGTATACATATGTATATAAAATTAACATGAAATAGTGTCAGGCTAATTGCAGTTACT